GAGGAGGGAGAAAGAGGAGGGAGGAGGAGGAGGGAGGAAGAGGAGGGAGGAGGAGGGAGGAAGAGGAGGGAGGAGGGAGGAAGAGAAGGGAGGAGGAGCGAGGAAGAGGAGGGAGGAGGAGGGAGGAAGAGGAGGAGGGAGGAGGGAGGAAGAGGAGGAGGGAGGAGGGAGGAAGAGGAGGAGGGAGGAAGAGGAGGAGGGAGGAGGAGGAGGGAGAAGGCGGCCCTGGAGGTCACTCCCTGTAATGTGGAGCATAGCAGCCACCTGCTGGTCACAAGGCAGTAGGAAGGAGAACACAAAGCTCTGGAGTGAGGCAGAGGGACCCTGGCTCCTCAGTGGCTCTCCAGCGCCCTCTATTGACAAAGCCTAACCTGGCACCAGGTGACAAATGGAACTGAGAGGTAATAAATTGATTACCTACAGGTGAGTGATGGGGCCCCTGCTATTAGTAAAAACAACAGTAATAATAACGACTACCATGGAATTCTCAGTGCTGTCTGTGTCATTTATCCCAGAATCACAGGGGAAAGTTCATGGGGAGGGGGGATTGTGGTCCATTTGACCCCAGGGTCGGCTCACCTTTCCCTAGGCACAGGGTCAGGGTCTGGGTCTGAGCCTGCTCTGGGCAAGCACCGTCTCCCTGCTCCCAGGCCAGACCCTATAGATGGAGCTGACTCCACCCGCGCTCCAGGGGCAGGCGTGTGCCCTGGAATAAGTGCTTTCCTCAGCCCCACACGTGGTGATGGCACAGCACAGCGTCAAACCCAGACAATGAAAAACATTCCAGAGGTGGCACCAGGCCCTCACTGTATTTTGTTTTGTTTTGTTTTTGTTTTTTGAAATGGAGTCTTGCTCTGCCACCCAGCCTGGAGTGCAGTGGCACGATCTTGGCTCACTACAACCTCCACCTCCCAGGTTCAAGGGATTCTTCTGCCTCAGCCTCCCGAGTAGCTGGGATTACAGGCACATGCCACCACACCTAACTAATTTTTGTACTTTTAGTGGAGACAGGGTTTCGCCATGTTAGCCAGGCTGATCTCCAACTCCTGACCTCAGGTGATCTGCCCGCCTTGGCCTCCCAAAGTGCTGGGATTACAAGTGTGAACCACCATGCCCAGCCACCTTTTTTTTTTTTTTTTTTTTTTTTTTGAGATTGTCACCTGGGCTGACAGAGTCAGTGGTGCAATCTTGGCTTACTTCAGCCCCAACCTCCCATGCTCAAGTGATCCTCCTGCCTCAGCCTCCCGAGTAGCTGTGATGCAGGCGCTTGCCACCATGGTCAGCAAATTTTTTAATTTTTTTTACTGTTTTGTAGAGACGGGGGTCTCACTATGTAGCCTAGGCTGGTCTCGAACTCCTCAAGCGTTCCTCCCGCCTTGGCCTCCTAAAGTGCTGGGATTACGGGCTCGAGCCACTGCGCCCCGCCCTGGCTAGGTTTTTGTTTTGCTTTTCATTCTTTTATTTTTCTCCTTAGCACTTATCAGCCTCTGACATGTGTTTTTCTTATTGGTTTTATCTATTTTCCCCTCTAGAAGGTAAGCTTTATTTATCTATTTATTTGTTAAGCTCTTTTCAATCTGGGAAGAGTTCCTGTAAGCTTTATTACCTGATTCCCAGGAAGCTTGTAGCCATTTTTCTAACACCAGCCAAGGACGAGGTGACCAGAGAGGAGGAAGCAGCGGGCGCGGGATGCCTGAGGAAATGGAACGTTTTTAGATTTTAGTTAAAAAATAAAACCCAACTTGCCCTCATGGAAGGAGCGTAAGCAAAAGTGGATGTAGTCAGAGGCATGGGCCCCGCTTGATTGCTATTAACACAGTTTCTTGTTTCTATTCTGTGACCTCAGATGGTGGGAGAGAGAGAGCTTGGCTCAGTGGAGCAGGAGAGAGAGAGATACCTGGAGAGGTGGCAAGGGGCCCAGCCACACCCGCCCCTCAGTGTGAGGTGAGGAGGGCGCTGGAGAGCTGTGGAGGGTTAGAGGCCGAGGAGGGATGCAGTCACCTGGAGGTGTGGGGGGAGCAGCCCTGGAATGGCTGCTTGTCCCTCAAGGGATCAGGGCCCTGACCTGGCCCTGACCTCTTTGCTCCCCTCTTACCCACAGGAGCCAGCCTCTCAGTTTGGGGGCTGGGGCAGACAAACCTGTCTTGCAGGCTGAGGCCCGCCTGGGTGAGGCCACGCTGCTGCCGGTCTGACTGAGACACACTCTGCAGTATGCAGTCGGATGGAGCCCGAAAGCCAAGTGGCAGATGTGGGTCAGAGATGGCGGCATGCTTACCCAACTGCCCAGAGGTCAGAGGTCAGGTCAAACCCCGGCCCCGCCGTATCTGGTAAGTCCTGGCCTATTATTATTATTATTGAGACAGGGTCTTGCTGTTGCCCAGGCTGGAATGCAGTGGCACCATCACAACTCACTACAGCCCCTACCTCCTGGGTTCAAGCGATCTTTCCACCTCAGCCTCCCGAGTAGTGGGGACTACAAGTGCACACCACCATGCCCAGCTAATTTTTAAATTTTTTGGAGAGGCGAGGTCTCGCTATGTTGGCCAGGCTGGTCTGGAACTCCTGGCCTCAAGCAATCCTCCTGCCTCAGCCTCCCAAAATGCTGGGATTACAGGCATGAGCCACTGCGCCCAGCCCTGACCTGTCTTAACTGCTCAGATAAAGTTTGAAAATGTTTCGAGGAATAATTCTCTTCTCAATGTACATTTTATGTCCAGCAGTGACATTTTAACTAAGATACGTTTCTTGATTTCTGTTAGAAGACAAAGGCAATAATCATCATAAAATATTTGGAAAATACCAAAATGCCCAAGGAATGAAACAAAAATCCCCTGCAAATGTGTCCTCTTCCTCAATAACCTTTGGAAGACCTTTAAAAAATGCAAACATGCACATATTTACATTTTTATCAGAGAAGGAATCATACTTGGCATGCTATATTGTAACCTGTTTTTCTCATGTCACAATTTCCCAAGTATTTTTTTCATGCCATTAAATATTCTTTTGCAGTGTGACTTTTTTTTTTTTTTTTTTTTTTTTTTTTTGAGACAGAGTCTCGCTCTCTCGGCTAGGCTGGCGTGCAGTGGCATGATCTCAGCTCACTGCAACCTCCGTCTCCCAGGCTCAAGCAATTCTCCTGCCTCAGCCTCCTGAGTAGCTGGGTCTACAGGTGTGCACCACCATGCCCGGGTATTTTTTCTATTTTTAATAGAAATGGGGTTTCGCCATTTTGGCCAGGCTAGTCTCAAGCTCCTGGCATCAAGCCATCTGCCCACCTCCGCAAGTGCTGGGATTACAGGTGTGAGCCACCGTGCCCAGCCATAATTCAGTTCTTAATGGTTTGCTGTCATGGACCCTCTACAGAACTTGCTGGAAGCTATATCCCTAGGAGAAGGATTTTTATCACCTATAAGTCTCAACAGCCCTGTACCTGGATTTTCCTTTGATAAACAACTCCCCTTCCAACACCACCACCGCATGCATCCTTAGCATGATTACCATGCCAGGTGCTCTCCCTTTCCCAACCTAACGGTGGGCCTAGAACCTAAGCCAAGACAATGAGATTCAACTCTGGACCTTGGCTACAGCCCTTGGGAGAGAGGCTCTTTCTCTCTGTTGCATTGCTTAGGTATAAAGACGTTAAGTATGGCGTTGCCAGAGAAATCCTGTCAGGAAATGAAGCAGGTTTCCTGGAAACTTAGATTGAACACCTGGATCCAGACATGCCTGAAGCCAGCCCCGTTGACTCAGTTATGTGAGCTGATAAATTCCATTTTACACTTCAGTCAGTGACAGTTGGGTTTCTGCCACTTCCATCAGAATAGTAGAATAGTTCTTTTTTTGGCCGGGCACGGTGGCTCAAGCCTGTAATCCCAGCACTTTGGGAGGCCGAGGCGGGCGGATCACAAGGTCAGGAGATCGAGACCACAGTGAAACCCCGTCTCTACTAAAAATACAAAAAATTAGCCGGGCGCGGTGGCGGGCGCCTGTAGTCCCAGCTACTCAGGAGGCTGAGGCAGGAGAATGGCGTGAACCCAGGAGGCGGAGCTTGCAGTGAGCCGAGATCGCGCCACTGCACTCCAGCCTGGGCAACAGCGTGAGACTCCGTCTCAAAAAAAAAAAAAAAAAAAAAAAAAAAAAAAAAAAAAGAATAGTTCTTTTTTTTTTTTTTTGGAGACAGGGCCTTGCTTTGTCACCCAGGCTGGAGTGCAATAGTGTGATCTCGGCTCACTGCAACCTCCACCTCCCGGGTTCAAGTGATTCTTCTGCCTCAGCCTCCGGAGTGGCTGGGATTACAGATGTGCACCACCACGCCTGGCTGATTTTTGTATTTTTGTAGAGATGGGGTCTCACCATTTTGGCCAGGCTGATCTCGAACTTCTGACCTCAGGTGATCTGCCCGCCTCGGCCTCCCAAAGTGCTGGGAATACAGGCGTGAGCCACTATGCCTGGCCTAGAACAGTTCTTGTTCACTCTCCCTTGACCCAGAAAAAGAACAAACTCATTCATTCATTATTAATTAATTAATTTATTTATTTATTGACTATCTAGTATGTGCTCAGCCCCATGCTGGGTGATGATGGGGACAGTAAAGTGACCGTGACAGAACTCTCATGGCAATCAAGGCTTCCAGAGCTCAAACGGCAATCACAAACTGTTCAGCAAGAATGGCGACGCCTGCCATGAAGGAGGAGCTCAGAGAGCTACAGGAGAGGTGTCTGTGAATGTGAGATGGGATCATGGAGAGGTCCCTTGAAAGTTGGGCAAGAACCAGCCAAGTGGAGTGAGGTCAAGGCTAAAGATACGTGCACACAAGCCCTGGGGTTTCAGGGCACACCCGAGGCACAGGAACCTGGAAAAAGATATTGGAAGTGGAAGGAGGTAAGGGCTAGGGAGGTTGGCAGGGCAGACATGAGGCAACCATCCAGGCCCCACCGGAGGAAGCAGGAGGAGGATGTAGAGGAGGCCGGGGTGTGTATGTTGCCTTCCCGTCTTGTCCCTCAGAGTGTGGTGTAGAAATACATGGCGATCAGCATGACTGGGAGCTGGCGAGGAGGCAGAGAGATTAGGGCACTCCACCCCCCCCACCCCCAGCCCACCCAGCCTGTGGGCTCCCCGCCTCTCACCGTCCACATCAGGATGGCAAACCCAAACCACGAGATGCCCCACGTGTAGCTGTCGATGGCATGGCCGATGTGCTCAAAGCAGCCCTGGGCAGGGGGATGGGGGAGGTTTGAGAAGACGCCCATGAGGGTGGCTGCTGAAGGCGAGAGTCACTGTGCGCCCTTGGGAAAGTCACCGCCTTTCCTGAGCCTTGGTTTTCTCACCTGTGCAGTGGAGACCATGGCACTGTCCACCTCCTCGGGTGGTTTTGGGGCCCAAGGGAGCTGATGTTGAACCCAGGCCCTGCAAAGTAGGTGCTGCCCTGCTGATGGCTATGACGGTCTGAGGGTGATTTTGCTTTTACGGCTGGCTTTTTTTTTTTTTTTGGAGACAGAGTCTCGCTCTGTAGCCCAGGCTGCAGTGCAGTGGTGTGATCTCGGCTCACTGCAACCTTTGCCTCCCGCGTTCAAGCAATTCTCCTGCCTCAGCCTCCTGAGTAGCTGGGATTACAGGCGCGCACCACTACGCCCGGCTAATTTTTGTATTTTTAGTAGAGACGGGGTTTCACCATGTTGGCCAGGCTGGTCTTGAATTCCTGATCTCATGATCAGGAATCATCTTGGCCTCCCAAAGTGCTGGGTAAAATTACAGGCATGAGCCATCATGCGCGCCCAGCCTTGTTTTTTTTTTTTTTTTTTTTTTTTTTTTTTTTTTTTTTTTTAAGTCTCTTGCCTTTTATTAAGTCTCTTGCCTAGGCTAGAGTGCAGTGGCACCATCACAGCTCACTGCAGCCTTGACCTCCTAGACTCAAACGATCCTCCTGCCTTAGCCTCCCCAGTAGCTGGGATTATAGGCACACACCACCATGCCTGGTTAATTTTCTGTACTTTTTTATAGAGACGGGGTCTTAATATGTTGCCCAGGCTGGTCTTGAGCTCCTGACCTCAAGTGATCCTCCTGCCTTGGCCTCCCAAAGTACTGGGATTACAGGATTGAGCCACTGTGCCTAGCTCTATTGTTTTGTTTGATGTTTTGCTTTGTTTTGTTTTGTTTGAGACGGAGTTTCGCTCTGTCGCCCAGGCTGGGGTGCAGTGGCACAATCTCATCTGACTGCAACCTTCACCTCCAGGGTTCAAGTGATTCTCCTACCTCAGCCTCCCGAGTAGTTGGGATTACAGGCATGTGCTACTGCTCTGGGCTAGTTTTTGCATTTTTAGTAGAGACGGATTTTTGCTATGTTGGTCAGGCTGGTCTTGAACCCCTGACCTCAAGTGATCCGCCCTCCTCGGCCTCCCAAAGTGCTGGGATTACAGGTGTGAGCCATCGCGCCCCGCCCTATTGTTGCTCTTATTCTTGGACAACCTGAGTAAAGTTGCAGGTGCCAGGTCTGGATCAGACAGACCCTGGGTGCATCCTGCTGACTTGAGAGAGAGTTGGGAGAGCACGAGAAAATCAGAGAGGGGACCCAGCGCTGTGGCTCATGCCTGTAATCTGAGCACTTTGGGAGGCCAAAGCGGGTGGATCACTTGACCTCAGGAGTTCGAGACCAGCCTGGCCAACATGATCAAACCCCGTCTTTACTAAAAATACAAAAATTAGCCAAGAGGGTGGTGCGCGCCTGTAATCCCAGCTGCTCTGGAAGCTGAGGTGGGAGAATCCCTTGAACCTGGGAGGCAGACGCTGCAGTGAGCTATCGTGCCACTATACTCCAGCCTGGGTGACAGAGCGGGACTCGGTCTCGGAAAAAAAGAAAAGAAAGAAAAAGAAAACAAGAAAATCAGAGCGGGGAAGAGGAGAGAGAAAAAGCTAGATGGACAGACACAGGGAGGGAGAGAGAGAGAATCAGAGAGGGAGCAGAGACCAGAGGCAGACAGACAGATGGACGGACAGATGCAGCAGGGCAGAGGGCCGCACCTTGGTGAACACGTAGTCCATGTGCCCCAGGCGGCAGCCCTCCTTGTTGAGGGGGATGAAGTTTCCCGTCCGGCGACAGCACAGTGGGGGCCAGGGGAACACCACCTCCGGAGTGGCCTCCCGGAAGGCTGACGTGAAGTTCACCCAGTCCATGGGACCAGATGTGCCACAGCACTCTTGCTGGAGAGAAAAGCAGGGGGTCAGGCGGGCTCGGGCTCAGAGAGGATAGTCGCTTGCCTGAGGTCACACAGCAAGGAGGGGCCGGGTTGGCCTTTGACACAGCTGGACCCAACTTCCCCATGTCCTGGGCCTCCAAGCGAGTGTGTCTGGTGGGTGTCTGTGTGTGAGCACGGAGCAGACGACATTTGTCCCGGGACCAGGAGGCTGATGGGGGATTTGGATCAAACCCGTACCTCTGACTTATTTCAAAATATTTTTACCAGGCATGGTGTCTCACGCCTGTAATCCCAGCTCTTTGGGAGGCCAAGGTGGGTGGATCACCTGAGGTCAGGGGTTCGAGGCCAGCCTGACCAACATGATGAAACCCCATCTCTACTAAAAATACAAAATTAGCCAGGTGTGGTGGTGGGCCCCTGTACTCCCAGCTACTTGGGAGGCTGAGGCAGGAGAATCGCTTGAACCCGGGAGGTGGCGATTGCAGTGAGCCGAGATTGTGCCACTGCACTCCAGCCTGGGAATCGAGTATGAAACTCCATCTCAAAAAATAAAATAAAATAAAATAAAATGTGCTGAAAAAATAACACAAAAAGGGCAGATTTCTGGCTTTTCCTGGCCTTGGTAAGGAATCCAGGTATTTAATTTGTGGCTCCTGAATGAGGAAAACATAGGCTTGGGCACCCTTCAAACATGGGTTCAAATCCTGGCTAGCTAGAGGACTTGGGCCACATTGACACCTCAGTTTTCCTTGAGTCATCAATTTCCTCCTTTTTTTTCTGTTGAGACGGAGTCTCCCTCTGTTGCCCAGGCTGGAGTGCAGTGGCGCCATCTTGGCTCACTGCAACCTCTGCCTCCTGGGTTCAAGCGATTCTCCTGCCTCAGCCTCCCAAGTAGCTGGAATCACAGGCACACACCACCACGCCTGGCTAATTTTTGTATTTTTTGTGGAGACAGGGTTTCACCATGTTGGCCAGGATGGTCTCGAACCCCTGAACTCAAGTGACCTGCCCATCTCAGCCTCCCAAAGTGTTGGGATTATAGGTGTGAGCCACTGCGCCCAGCCAATTTCTTCCTCTTCCGATGCAATATCATGCTGGATTTGGTGAAGAGTGTATCTCTTCAAACCTGGAAGTCTGAGTTTGAATCCTTCCAGTTCTGTGACCTACCAGCTGTGTGACCTCATGCAAGATATTCAACCTCTTGCTTTGGTCTCCTCATCACTAAAAGGCTGATCTCCCTTATGGGGTGGTCGTGAGGATTAAAAAAGCTTTAAAAGTGCTTTGAGGCCAGGCACTTGGGGCTCATGCCTGTAATCTCAGCACTTTGAGAGGCGGAGCTGGGAGAATCGCTCCAATCCTGAGCCCAGGAGTTCGAGACCAGCCTCTGCAATAGAGCAAGACCCCATCTCCGCAAAAAATAATTTAAAAAATTTAGCCGGGCGTGGTGGGGTGCACCTGTATTCCCAGCTACTTGGGAGGCTGAGGCAGGAGGATCACTTGAGCCCAGGAGTTGGAGGTTGCAGTGAGCTATGATCACTCCAGCCTGGGCAACAGAGCAAGACCCTATCTCAAAATATAAAAATAAAAGTCCTTTGAACTGTGTTAAACCCAAGTTAGTGCTCAGTGAATAGTGCTGTTACTATTGTTATTATTATCAACATTTCTGTTGAGGTAGTATGTGTAGGCTAAGAGCAGGGGGTCAGGAGCTAGGCTGCTGGGTTCCAATCCCAGCTCCCACCACCTATGGACTGCATGGCCTCGGGCAAGGGACTTTCCCTTTCTGGGCTTGTTTACTCATCTGCAGAAGGGTTTACTCATCCGCAGCCCTGCTCTCCTGGAGATCTCATGAGTGGATGTCTTTAAGGCACTCACTCCTCTACAAGAGGGCGCATCGGGCGCTCTATCGGCCTCTGTGGACGGAGCCCCGGGCCCTCCTGGCACCCGGGCCACCCTGCCCACCTCAATCATGACGCGGTCCCAGAGGCGGGTCAGCTCCTGGCCCTGGTGGGTGTCAGCGCTGTAGAAGGTCAACATCTGCTTGGTGATCAGGGATGGGCTGGACACCATCTGCGGAGAACAGGGAAGAGCAGGGGTCGGCAGGGCTGGGTGGGGAGACGGGACAACCTCCGCCCCGCCGCACCGGGACCCTCGCCCCTCCCATGCAGGTCAGGCCCCTCCCCAGGCCTCGCCGGGCTCACGTAGTCACGGTGGGTGTAGGACGTGATGCAGGAAGCGCACTCGAAGATGTAGACGATGAGCATAAGCACCAGGTACTGGGGAGACAGAGGGAGGACGGCCCGTCGGGCAGAGCCCGTGAAGCCACACCCCATCAGGGACGCATCATTGCGGAAATGCAAGTTTTTAAAAAGTCTGGGGCAGTGTGACTAGTAGCATCCATAATATGTGGTGGGTATTCAGGCGTTCGCTGTACAAGTCTTCCAACTTTTCTGTATTTTGAAATATTTAATTTAATTAATTTATTTTTGAGACAGGCCGGGCGTGGTGGCTCACGCGTGTAATCCCAGCACTTTGGGAGGCCAAGGGGTCGATCACCTGAGGTCAGGAGTTCGAGACCAGCCTGGCCAATATGGTGAAACCCCTTCTCTTTTTTTTTTTTTTTTTTTTTGAGACGGAGTCTCGCTCTGTCACCCAGGCTGGAGTGCAGTGGCCGGATCTCAGCTCACTGCAAGCTCCGCCTCCCGGGTTCACGCCATTCTCCGGCCTCAGCCTCCCGAGTAGCTGGGACTACAGGCGCCCGCCACCTCGCCCGGCTAGTTTTTTTTTGTATTTCTTAATAGAGACGGGGTTTCACCGTGTTAGCCAGGATGGTCTCGATCTCCTGACCTCGTGATCCGCCCGTCTCCGCCTCCCAAAGTGCTGGGATTACAGGCTTGAGCCACCGCGCCCGGCGTGAAACCCCTTCTCTAGTAAAAATACAAAAATTAGGGCTGGGCATTTGTGGCTCACGCCTGTAATCCCAGCACTTTGGGGGGCTGAGGTGGGTGGATCACTTGAGGTCAAGAGTTTGAGACCAGCTGGGCCAACATGGCAAAACCCCGTCTCTATTAAAAATACAAAAATTAGCTGGGAATGGTGGCACGGGCCTGTGGTCCCAACTATTTGGGAGACTGAGACAGGAGAATCGCCTGAACCCGGGAGGCGGAGGTTGCAGGTAGCTGAGATTGCGCCGCTGTGCTCTAGCCTGATGATGCTTGTAATCCCAGCTACTCAGGAGGCTAAGGAAGGATAACTGCTTGAACCTGGGAGGTGGAGGTTGCAGTGAGCTGAGATCGTGCCACTGCACGATCGCCTGGGTGACAGAGGGAGACTCCATCTCAAAAAAAAAAAAATTATATATATATAAATAATTTTTGACATAGGGTCTCCCTCTGTCGCCTAGGCTGGTCTGCAGTGGCAGGATCATAGCTCATTGCAGCCTCTGCCTCCCAGGTTCAGGTGATCCTCTTGCCTCAGCCTTCTAAGTATCTGGGACTACAGGCACATGCCACCATGTCTGGCTAATTTTTAAATTTTCTGTAGAGATAGGATGTTGCTACGTTGCCCAGGCTGGTCTCAGACTCCTGAGCTCAAGTGATCCTCTTTCCTCAGCCTCCCAAAGTGCGGGATTATAGGAGTGAGCCACCGCACCCAGCCAGAAATATTTTATAATAAAATGTCAAGGGAAAATGAAATTTAAAAAGTAACATATTTGCCAAAGTTAAGTATTGACTTAGAATCACTAAATAAATGTCTACTATAAAAAGAGAAAAATATCTGGGATAAATAGATGACAGCAAAAAAAAAAAAAAAAAAAAAAGCTAAAGAAAAGAAAATTAAAAAACAAAGACATTTGGGGCCAGGCACAGTGGCTCGTGCTTGTAATCCCAGCACTTTGGGAGGCCAAGGCAGGTGGATCACCGAAGGTTGGGAGTTCAAGACCAGCCTGAGCAACATGGAGAAACCCCATCTCTACTAAAAATACAAAATTAGCCGGGTGTGGTGGCGCATGCCTGTAATCCCAGCTACTCGGGAGGCTGAAGCATGAGAATTGCTTGAACCCGTGGGGCAGAGGTTGCAGTGAGCCCAGATTGTACCATTATACTCCAGCCTAGGCAATAAGAGTGAAACTCTGTCTCAAAAAATAATAATATAAATAAATAAATAAAGACATTCTGTGCCAGATGCAGTGGCTCATGCCTGTAATCCCAGCACTTTGGGAGGCCGAGGTGGGAGGATTGCTTGAACCCTGGAGTTCAAGATCAGCCTGGGCAACACAGTGAGACCCCGTCGCTACAAAAAATAAAATTAGTTAAGCATGGTTACTACTAGTGGTAGTGTTAGTCCTAGCTACTTGGGAGGCTGAGGTTGGAGGATCGTTTGAGCCCAGTAGTTGGAGGCCGCAGTGAGCTATGATCGCACCACTGCATTCCAGCCTGGGTGACAGAGCAAAACCCTGCCTCTTAAAACAAAACAAACATGTGTGGGTGCTGTGGCTCATGCCTGTAATCCCAGCACTTTGGGAGGTTGAGGCGGGTGGATCTCCTGAGGTCAGGAGTTTGAGACCAGCCTGACCAATAGGGTGAAGCCCCATCTACTAAAAATGCAAAAATACAAAAATTAGCTGGGCACGGAGATGGGTGCCTGTAATCCCAGCTACTCGGGAGGCTGAGATAGGAGAATAACTTGAACCCAGGAGGTGGAGGTTGCAATGAGCCGAAATCATGCCACTGCACTCCAGCCCAGGCAACAGTGTGAGACCCTGTCTCTTAAAACAAAACAAACATAAAACGATGTTCTCAGATAATCAGAGACATTTGTCACAGACTGGGTATTGGATGATATAAAAGAATTTGGGTGAATTTGGTGGGTTGTGCCAACGGCATGGAGGGCAGGAGAAAAAAAAAGCTTGATAGTTGATGTTTAATGCAAATTCTTTTCTTGTCCTCACCTGGCATCTTCACCTATAAAGCAACAGGAGGTTGTGTGTGGATTTGTGAGCTCCGCTGCTGGGAGATAGATGACACTGCACATTCGCCTGACTGCTTTAAAACAATGTGCTTGTCAGTCAGAGAAATGTGTGCTCCAGTATTTACTGGAGCTTATCCAGGTAAGCGACTTGGCTTCTAGAATGTGCTTCAAAATACCCAGAAGAAAAAGTGTGGGAGAATGGGGATAGAGGAGACAATGCTGGGCAGTCTGCAGCTAATGTTGTTGAAATCAAGTGAGAGGTATGCAGAGCTCAAATACCACGGACTCTACTTTAATCTACGTTAGAAATTTCCCATAAGAAATTTGGAAAAAAAAAAGGTGGGGGAGGTGGGGGCCAGGCACAGTGGCTCATGCCTGTAATCCCAGCACTTTGGGAGACCGAGGCGGGCGGATCACGAGGTCAGATCGAGACCATCCTGGCTAACACGGTGAAACCCCGTCTCTACTAAAAATACAAAAAATTAGCCAAGCGTGGTGGTGGGCGCCTGTAGTCCCAGCTACTCAGGAGGCTGAGGCGGGAGAATGGCCTGAACCCAGGAGGCGGAGCTTGCAGTGAGCCAAGATCGCGCCACTGCACTCTATCCTAGGCGACAGAGCAAGACTCTGTCTCGAAAAAACAAACAAAAAAAGGCAGTCGCCATGGCTCACGCCTGTAATCTCAGCACTTTGGGAGGCCAAGGCAGGCAGATTACGAGGTCAGGAGTTCAAGACGAGCCTGACCAACATGGTGAAACCCCATCTGTACTAAAAACAGAAAAATTAGCCAGGTATGGTGGCTCACACCTGTAATCCCAGCTACTCAGAGGCTGAGACAGAAGAATTGCTTGAACCCGGGAGGTGGAGGTTGCAGTGAGCCGAGATCGCACCATCGCACTCCAGCCTGGGCGAAAGAACGAGACTCCATCTCAAAATAAACAAAAAAAGGTCGGGCGCGGTGGCGCACGCCTGTAATCCCAGCACTTTGGGAGGCTGAGGCGGGTGGATCACGAGGTCAGGAGATCGAGACCATCCTGGCTAACATGGTGAAACCCCCTCTCTACTAAAAATACAAAAAAAAAAAAAAAAAAAAATTAGCGGGACGTGGTGGTGGGCGCCTGTAGTCCCAGCTACTCAGGAGGCTGAGGCAGGAGACTGGCGTGAACCCCGGAGGCAGAGCTTGCGGGGGGCCAAGATCATGCCACTGCACTCCAGCCTGGGAGACTGAGCAAGACTACATTTCAAAAAAAAAAAAAAGAAGAAAGAAATTTTGGGAAAAAATGTCTTAGTTAATGACAAACTAATAGCGGAAACAGACATAGACACACTTTTTAAAACTAGTTGGGTGAATTTTTAGGGCTTTGGTTAAATTGTTATGCCCGAAAATTAAATACAGGATAAGAAAATAAGAGGGCAGGTGTGGTGGCTCATGCCTGTAATTCCAGCACTTTGGGAGGCTGAGGTGAGAGGCTCACTTGAGGCCAGGAGTTCGAGACCAGCCTGGGCAACATAGTGAGACTCCATCTCTACAAAAAATACAAAAATTAGCTGCACGTGGTGGTGCACACTTGTAGTCCCAGCTCATTGGGAGGCTGAGGTGGGAGGATCATTTGAGCCCGAGAGTTCAAGGCAGCAAAGAGTTATGATTGTGCCACTGCACTCCAGCCTGGGCAACAGAGTGAGACCCTGTCTAGAAAAACAAAGGAAGGAAGAAAAGAAGGAAGGAGGGAAAGAAGGAGGGAGGGAGGAAAGGGAGGAAGGAAGGAAGGGAAAGGAGGGAAAGGAGGAAGGGAAGGAAGTCCATGGCTCCATCGTACCCAGGATAAAGCCAAAGTCCACCATACCTGCCTGTCTAGAAAAATGAAGGAAGGAAGGAAGGAAGGAAGGAAGGAAGGGAGGGAGGGAAGGAGTCCATGGCTCCATCTTACTCAGGATAAAGCCAAAGACCACAACACCTGCCTTCCCTCCCGCTTCTTTCCCATCCCCACTCCTCACTGTTCTCCTCCCCACCTGTCTGCCTCATGTCCTCTCACCCCCCAACCTCCTCCTCACTCAGCTCCAGCTGCTTTGGACTCCTGGCCCGCTCTGGCCTCAGAGCCTTTGCCCTTGCTGCCACCTCCACCTGGAAGGCTCTTGCTCCAGTTACACACATGCCTCACCCCCAGTGCCTCTAGGTCTTTGCTTTCCCTGGCAGTGAGGTCTTCCCTCGCCCTCCTTGGCTCCTGACCTCCCCTCCTGTTCACTGTCTTCCTCCTCTGAGCACCACTCCCCTGGGTCAAGGGCTTTTGTGTTTCACTCAGCACAGAGCCCCAGTGCCCAGCGTAGGGCTCAGCACGTAGCTCCTGCTCATAAGCATTTGTTCATCAAATAAGTGGCTGCTCCTGGGAATCTGGAAAACCCTTGGCTGTCGAGGAAGCACAGTGCTGTCTCTGTGTCACTGGGGCCTGGATTGGAATCCCAGGTCTCCTGGTCACCTGGGAGAGGGTGTTGGCCTCTTTCAGCCTGTTTCCTCATCTGGTAAATGGGTTGAAAAGCACTAACTGTGAAGGGCTTCTGGGAAGATTGAGGAAGCTCATTTTCTTTCCTTTTTTTTTGAGACGGAGTCTCACTCTGTCATACAGGCTGGAATGCAATGGCGTGATCTTGGCTCACTGCAACCTCTGCCTCCCAGGTTCTAGTGATTCTTCTGCCCCAGCCTCTTGAGTAGCGGGGATTACAGGTGCCTGCTATCACGTCTGGCTAATTTTTTTTTTTTTTTTTTTTTTTTTCAGAGATGGGATTTCGCCACGTTGGCCAGTCTGGTCTCGGACTCCTGACCTCAAGTGATCTGTCCGCCTCTGCCTGCCAGAGTGCTGGGATTACAGGCATGAGCCACTGCACCTGGCCACGAAGTTCATTTTCTAAACTGCTTACCCTAGTGTCAGGTGCATGAGAGACACTTGGGAAGTGTGGGTTATTGTTGTGGGCAGAGATTAAGAGCACAGGCTCAAGAGCTGGTCTGCTCAGGTTGAAACTGACTCTGCCTCTGTCTCAATGTGTGACCCTGGGTAAGTGACTTCACTTCTCTGAGCCTCAGTTTCAATCTCTGTCAAATAGGGTCATGATGATGATGGTATCTCTTGGTGGACTATGAGGAATAAATGAACGAATCCAGTAAACCATTTAGAACAGCTCGTGGCATGTAGTAAACCATTATTAAATGGTAGCTGTGCTATTATTGGCAGAGTTCATGAGCACAGACTCTGGAGAGCAGCTAGCAGGGGTTCGAATTCTAGTCATGCACTGGGTGCAGGTGGAGGTGCTCAAGCCTGTAATCCCAGCATTTTGGGAGGCCAAGGCAGGAGAATCATTTGAGCCAGGAGTTCGAGACCAGCCTGGGCAACATAGTGAGACCCCTCCCCCATCTTTACCAAAAAAAAAAATTCCCAGCCCTGCTACTCAAGTCCTCCCACTGTGCAGAGCCCCACTCCCCTGTCTCTGCCTGTTTTCTTCATTAAATGGGGGTAACTGCAGAGCCTGGGTTACTGGGCTGTGGGAAGACTGAGTGAGATGATGCCTGGGATCCCTGACTGTGACACTGTGGGGAACTCACACTAGTGGCTGGGGCGGCACCTGCTACTATGACTCAGTGATGCTGAACTCCGTTTTCAATGTCCCCATCCTCCCACCCCCGGGGCCTCACCGTGAGGACCATGGACCGGCGGCAGCAGAGCGCGGCGCCCACACCAAAACTGGCTACCACAAAGAAGGAGAAGCCGCAGAAGATGGCGATCCAGGCGCCAGCGAAGACGTCATCCTTGCCTGAGACTCCCATCAGTGGGTATATGTGGTACTGGTCGGCTGTCACCCATACGGTCTCGGCAAACAGGGCCAGGCCTGACAGCTGGACAGAGCGGCAGGTTAGGAAGGTCTGCTCGGGGCCAGCAGCCCTGGCACCAGGCATCTCCACCAGCAAGTTCCTTCCCCATTCGGAGCCCCCACTGCCCTCACAGTAAAGTGGGCAAAGACCTCGCCCTCTATGAGCAGCAATGAGGGTGAGCAGAGGCCAGGAGAGAAGAGACCCAGCCAGACAACCGACCCTCACGCCCCAGCTGCCAGTTGCTTCGGGGATGAAAGGGGATGCCACGTGGAAAGGCTGGAGCAGTGGACTGGCACAGAGGAGATGGTTCGTTCACCTGCCCTCCCTTGACGGTGCTGTTTTTCCCCGAGGAGGGGAACATGCCATAAAAATTACAAATGGGCCAGGCAAGGTGGCTCACACCTGCAATCCCAGCACTGTGGGAGGCCGAGGCAAGAGGATTGCTTAAGTCCAGGAGTTTGAGACCAGCCTGGGCAATAGTGAGACCCTGTCTCTACGAAAAATAAAAAAATTAGCCAGATGTGGTGATGTGCACCTGTAGTCCCAGCTAGTTGGGAGGCTAAGGCGGGAGGATCAGTTCAGCCCAGGAGTTGCAGGCTGCAGTGAGATAGGATCACACCACTGCACTGCAGCCTGGTCAACAGAGCGAGACCCTGTCTCTAAAACAAACACAAGGCCAGGCGCGGTGGCTAACACCTGTAATCCCAACACTTTGGGAGGCTGATGTGGGCAGATCATCTCAGGTCAGGAGTTCAAGACCAGCCTGGCCAACAGTAGAAACCCTGCCTCTACTAAAAATACAAAAGTAGCCGGGTGTGGTGGTGTGTGCCTGTAATCCCAGCTGCTCGGGAGGCTGAGGCAGGAGAATTGCTTGAGCCCAGGAGGTGGAGGATGCAGTGAGCTGAGATCTCGCCACTGCACTTCAGCCTGGGTGACAGAGGGAGACTCCGTCTAAAAAAAAACAAAACTAGCCAGGTGTGGTGGTGTGCATCTGTAATCCCAGCTACTCTGGAGGCTGAGGCAGGATAATCACTTGAGCCCGGGAGTTGGAGGTTGCAGTTAGCTGAGATCGGCCACTGCACTCCAGTCTGGGTGACAGAGTGAGACTCCGTCTCAACAAAACAAAACAAAACAAAACGAAAAAACAGAAAACCAAAACCCAACGTTAATTGAAAGACACTTGTTTTTCTTTCTTGTGGCCTCCTGTGCACCAGGCGGTCACTTTATACATAGTGATGCTGATGGTGATAGCCAGCATTGGTCGGGCACTTTCTCTGAGCTGAGGACCATACATGGATTAATCCACATGACAACAGCTCATGCAATGAGGACACAATCTATAGATGAGGAAAGAAGGCACAGAGAGGGACAGTCGCTTGCTAAGGTCACAGAGCTGGGGAGAGGCAGAGCTGGGATTTAAACCCAGGCTGTGCTGATCACTGAGTCTGCCCAAGAGACAATTCTGGATCCTCATCCCCCACCCCGAGCTCAGGATTGCCCTCTCCCCACCACACAACCACTCGGCTCCCAGCACTGGGGCGAGTCTCACCAGAATAATGATGTTGCCCACAACTAGCAGGCCCACCACAACTGGAGATCCCTTCTCAGCCTCTGCTGCTGCTGCAGACGCCATCATCCTGGGACACATGAGCAAGGATGAGGCCAGGAGTGTAAAGGGCCAGCCGGACCCCCCATCTCTGAGCCACACCCCAGCTGCGAGGGGTTGCTCCAGCTCTCTGCAGGGCCCAGGCTGGTACCGATGTGCCCACAGCCCTGGCGGGGAGGCATTTTGCAGAAGAGGACACCCAGGCTCCGGTGGGGCAGTCACTGGCCCGAACTTGGCACTGCCTCTTCCTGAGCCTCAGACCCCCTATGCCACACCCAGACTTCCAGAGTCCCCTCCTCACCTTCTCTGTCTGCAGCCTCTCTGGCCATCTCCACCCACTGTGGCTCCTATATATGCCCAGGCCCCTCCTTGGGCCGGTCTCCCAGGAAGGAGGGAGGGTGTGTATGTGTGTTTTGGGGCATGGCAGGGGGTGGACAAGAGGCCGAGCCGGCAGACCAGGATGGGTGAACAGCTTCTATGGGCTCCCTGCCACCCCCATGATTTATAGACTTGAAATTCCAGATTGTGTAGGACCCATGGCCTCTGGGTCCCAGGCTCCATTGGTGGTGGAGTTGGGGGTGGAGGGGTGCGCGCACCACCTGGCATCTCTCTTGCTAGGACATGGGCCTTCCTGGAAGTAGGAGCAAGATCCAAGGCCGGACGCGGTGGCTCACGCCTGTAATCCCAGCACTTTGGGAGGCCGAGACGGGCGGATCACGAGGTCAGGAGATCGAGACCATCCTGGCTAACACGGTGAAACCCCGTCTCTACTAAAAATACAAAAAAAATTAGCCGGGCGTGTGGCGGGCGCCTGTAGTCCCAGCTACTCGGGAGGCTGAGGCAGGAGAATGACGTGAACCCGGGAGGCGGAGCTTAAAGTGAGCCGAGATCGCGTCACTGCACTCCAGCCTGGGAGACAGAGACTCCATCTCAAAAAAAAAAAAAAGATCCAAATCAGGGGAGGGCGTGGTAGCTCAGGCCTGTAATCCCAGCACTTTGGGAAACTGAGGTAAGTGGATCGCTTGAGCTCAGTAGTTTGAGACCAGACTGGATAACACGGTGAAACCCCGTTTCAAAAAAAAAAACAAAACAAAAATAATCAGCCAGACTCATGCCTGTGGTCCCAGCTACTTGGGAGGCTGAGGTGGGAGGATGGCTTGAACCTGGGGGACAGAGGTTGTAGTGAGCCAAGATCATGCCATTGCACTCCAGCTTGAGTGACAGAGCCAGGCCCTGTCTCCAAAAACAAACAAAAAATCCACTTCAGACCCACAGATGGGTCCTGAATCCCAAAAGTGCCTCTTCTGCTGTGTGACCTTGGGCAGGTGGCTGCTCCTCTGTGAAGCCGGGAGCCCGTGGGGAGGCCCAGGCAGGGACCCCTGCCGAGGCCAGGGCTGCACCAAGACAGAGCAGTGGGGAGATGAGGGGACAGGTGGAAGGGGTGCTTAGGAGGCTGATTACATGGGCAGTGGGCTGAGGGAAAGGATGGCACCCAGGATAGATGTGTGAGGGGAGTCTGAGATGAGTACAAAGAGCGGGAAGAAGAACGTGCTAGAAAGTAAGAGGGGCACACTGGGCTTGATTGAAGAAAAGTCCCTGTCGCCCCCCAACACACACATGGACCAAGCAGACATGTATTTCTTCAGGCTGCAGAATGAGAAACCTAGGTTCGAATCCCGATTCCGCCTCTTCTGGCCGGTGCGACTTGGCTTGTGGATTTGCCCACCTACGAAATGGGTGTCATCAGACTGCTTCCCGGCAGCGGTGCGGACTGAGCCAGCGCATGTCCCCAAGGGGCGATGCTGCCCACGGCCATGCCCCGCAGCTGGCTCCCAAGAGGCCATGGTCTCTCTGATGCCGCCCCCTTGTGGCGCAGGGCTGGCTCCACAGGCAAAAATGGTGGCCCGGGCCCGGGTCCCCATCTGGGGATGGGGACACCATCCCCAGAACTTCTCAACCCCAAGGCCAGGCCGTGTATTGCCTCTGCTGTTGGAGCCGTGGTTCCCCACTGCGGTGCCTCCGAATTTGGCAAACAAATGACATTGAAAATCCCATCATCAACGCACTGGTTTGGTAATTAGATACATGAGATATTTTCCAATTAAAATGGTTAATTTGGTTTTAGTCAACTCACTTGAGATTTTAAAATATTTGTTTTGGCCGGGCGCGGTGGCTCACGCCTATAATCCCAGCACTTTGGGAGGCTGAGGTGGGGGGATCACCTGAGGTCAGGCTGACCAACATGGTGAAACCCCATCTCTACTAAAAATACAAAATTAGCCGGGTGTGGTGGCAGGTGCCCGTAATCCCAGCTACTCAAGGAGGGGGTGTGGTGGCAGGTGCCCGTAATCCCAGCTAGTCAAGGAGGCTGAGGCAGGAGAATCGCTTGAACCTGGGAGGCAGAGGTTGCGATGAGCCAAGGTCGTGCCATGGTTGCACTCCAACCTGGGCGACAGAGACTCTGTCTCAACAACAACAAAAATCTGAAAAGTGTTTATTCAAGAAAAGCAGCTGGCCGGGCGCGGTGGCTCAAGCCTGTAATCCCAGCACTTTGGGAGGCCGAGATGGGCGGATCATGAGGTCAGGAGATCGAGACCATCCTGGCTAACGTGGTGAAACCCCGTCTCTACTAAAAAATACAAAAAACTAGCCGGGCGAGGTGGCAGGCACCTGTAGTCCCAGCTACTTGGGAGGCTGAGCCAGGAGAATGGCGTAAACCTGGGAGGCAGAGCTTGCGGTGAGCTGAGATCTGGCCACTGCACTCTAGCCTGGGTGACAGAGTGAGACTCTGTCTCAAAAAAAAAAAAAAAAAAAAAAAGGAAAAGCAGCTGAATCCTGGAGCAGTGAACTTTATGATATTTTAAAAATTTATTTTTATTTTTGCTTTCTTGAGATACAGTCTCACTGTCGCCCAGGCTGGAATGCAGTGGCGTGATCTCAGCTTACTGCAACCTCCGCCTCCCAGGTTCAAGCGATTCTCCTGCCTCAGCCTCCCAAGTAGCTGGGATTACAGGCACCCGCCACCACGCCCAGCTAATTTTTGTACTTCGTGACATTTTTAATTGCCCTAGTTCCATTTCCCCACTCCAGCTCCATGGTAGCCTTGAATATTAAGTGCCGGCATTCTCAGTGGAAACTAGCAGCCTGGCATATACCAAATGGAGCAGAAGAGGATGAAACTCCTTAAAAGCCTGACTCCCAGAAAGTCAGAATTATTTGATTTGTCTTGTGGTTCCTTGGAAGCCCCTGCTTGCAATATTGTCTATATTTGACCTTAGAGCTCATACATCGTCAGAATTATTTCCCCAGGGGCATTTGTGAAACACAATTGTATGCAATTGCTCAACTAGGCAGCTGCCTAAGCAATGAATAACAGTTGAGGCCAATAATAGGCTAATGAAAAAGTTTAAAAGATAAAGCTGGGGAATGAGAAGGCTTTGAAAAACTCCAAAATATTCTTGGAAATCTAGAAGGTTACATGCATGCATAGGGTTGTGTGCATGCCCAGGAGTATATGCAGGCTCAAGAAAGACCAGAGATGAGAACCCAGTCTTCTTACATTGGGCTGACCTTGAGGATGTATGCCTTCCTGGGAGAAGTCATGACGATGGCAGAGTTGTCAACTGCCTGGCTCAATTGCATGGCCCACCATGCCTCAGCAAAGGCTAGGAGATTATTGGTTGGACGCTAAGGAAATCTTTGTCCAATCATTAGCTGAACACATGCTAAAGAATACCGTCTTTTTTTTTTTTTTTTGAGACGGAGTGTTGGCCAGGCTAGTCTCAAACTCCTGACTTCAAGTGAACCTCCCACTTTGGCCTCCCAAAGTGCTGGGATTACAGGTGTAAGCCACCATGCCTGGCCTAAAAGCAGAAATTATTTAAAAAGAACTAAACAGAAATTTGGAACTTGAAAATTACAGTAACTAAAATGAAAATACTCAAATGGGCCAGGCGCAGTGGCTCACACCTATAATCCCAGCACTTTGGGAGGCCGAGGTGGGCAGATCACGAGGTCATGAGATTGAGGCCATCCTGGCTAACATAGTGAAACCCTGTCTCTACTAAAAATAAACAAAATTAACCGGGCATGGTGGCATGTGCCTGTAGTCCCAGCTACTTGGGAGGCTGAGGCGACAATCACTTGAACCTGGGAGGTGGAGGTTGTGGTGAGCCAAGATCACGCCACTGCACTCCAGCTTGGGCGACAGAGTCAGACTCTGTCCCCGTGCCCCCCTCCAAAAAAAAAAAAAACAGCCAGGCATGGTGGTTCACACTTGTAATCCCAGCACTTTGGGAGGCCGAGGTGGGCGGATCACAAGGTCAAGAGACCGAGACCATCTGGCCAACATAGTGAAACCCCGTCTCTACTAAAAATACAAAAAATTAGCCAGGCATGGTGGCGCATGCCTATAGTCCCAGCTACTAGGGAGGCTGAGGCAGGAGAATCGCTTGAACCTGGGAGGCGGAGCTTGCAGTGAGCCAAGATCACGCCACTGCACTCCAGCCTGGGCAACAGAGTGAGACTCTGTCTCAAAAAAAAAAAAAAAAAAAAAAAAAGAAAAGAAAAAATCAATAGAGGGTTCAACAACAGATTTGAGTAGGCAGAAGAAAAGATCAGTGAATGTGAGAACAGATCAGTTGAGATGATCAAGTCTAAGGAACAGAAAGAAAAATGAATGAAGATAAATGAACAGAGCTTCAGAGACCTATGAGACATCATCAAACAATGGGAGTCCCAGCAGGAGAGGGAGTAAAAAATAATATGTGAAAAAAGAATGGCTGAAACTCCCAAAATCTGATGAAAAAAACATCAATCTAGGCCGGGCGCGGTGGCTCAAGCCTGTAATCCCAGCACTTTGGGAGGCCGAGACGGGCGGATCACGAGGTCAGGAGATCGAGACCATCCTGGCTAACATGGTGAAACCCCGTCTCTACTAAAACATACAAAAAACTAGCCGGGCGAGGTGGCGGGCGCCTGTAGTCGCAGCTACGCGGGAGGCTGAGCCAGGAGAATGGCGTGAACCTGGGAGGCGGAGCTTGCAGTGAGCTGAGATCCGGCCACTGCACTCTAGCCTGGGTGACAAAGCAAGACTCCGTCTCAAAAAAAAAAAGAAAAAAACATCAATCTATAGAGCCAAGAAGCTCAACAATCTTCAAATAGGTTAAATCAAAGATATCCGTCACCAGACATATCATAATCAAATTATTGAAAGATAAAAAGAGAACCTTGAAAGCAGCAACTGAGAAGTAACCCATCACATGTAATTAATCATCAATAAGATTAACAGCTGGACTGGGTGCAGTGGCTCATGCCTGTAATCCCAGCACCTTGGGAGGCTGAGGTGGGAGGATCACTTGAACCCAGGAATTGCAGACCTGCCTGGGCAATATGCGCAAACTCCATCGCTACAAAAAAATACAAAAATTAGCTGGGCATGGTGGCATATGACTGTAGTCCCAGCTACTCGAGAGGCTGGGGTGGGAGGATCTCTTGAGCCTGGGAATTCAAGGCTGCAGTGAGTTGTGATCAGGCCACCGCACTCCGCACTCCAGGCTGGGTGACAGAGCGAGGTCTTGTGTCAACAAAAAAAAAGAGAAAGATTAGAACATTTGGAAAAAAGCAGGCCGGCGTGCAGGTGGCTCAGGCCTGTAATTCTAGCACTTTGGGAGGCTAAGGCAGGCGGATCACCTGAGCTCAGGAGTTTTGAGACCAGCCTGGGCAACATGGTGAAACCCTGTCTCTATCAAACAAACAAAAAACTAGCTGAGTATGGTGGTCTATGTCTGTGGTCCTAGCTACTTGAGAGGCTGAGGTAGGGAGATGGCTTGAGTCTGGGCGGGGGAGGCTGCAGTGAGCCAAGATTACGCCACTACATGCCAGCCTGGGTGACAGAGCAAGACCTTATCTAAAAAAAAAAAAAAAAAAGAGCTGAAAGGGGGAATTAAATATATATTTTCAAATCTGCCCACGTGGAAATTACATTCCAGTGGTGCAATGATGAAGGATAATATTTGGCATGTTAGTGGTAAGTGCTTAAGAAACAAAGCCAGGCGTGGTGGCTCACGCCTGTAATCCCAGCACTTTGGGAAGCTGAGCTGGGGGGATCACAAGGTCAGGAGATGGAGACCATCCTGGCCAACATGGTGAAACCCTGTCTCTACTAAAAATACAAAAATTAGCTGGGCATGCTGGTGCGCGCCTGTAATCCCAGCTACCTGGGAGGCTGAGGCAGGAGAATCGCTTGAACCAGGGAGTCTGAGATTGCAGTGAGCCAAGATTGCGCCACTGCACTCCAGCCTGGCGACAGAGAGACTCCGTCTCCAAAAATTAAAATATAAATAAATACAAATTTTTAAAAAGGGAAAGAAACAAAAGGAGTGAAGGGGCACAAAGGGGGAGGAGTTGAAGGTGAAGGCTGAGTGGTCAGAGAAGGTCTCCCTAAATGAAGACCTGAAGGCAGTGAGGGGTGAGCTTGTGGACACCTGGTGGCCAAACATTCTGGGTCGAGCAAACAGCAAGCGTAAAGGACTGGAGCATAAGGGCGTTGGAGCCAGCCTAGTATGTCGAAATACCTCATCTGCTCACAGTTCTTGTGCACTGAAGAGGCAAGTGTGGCAGGGGCCGTGTGAGCAAATGGAAGTAGTACATCAGGGAGGAAACGGGCATCGTATCCAATCAGATCAATATATTTACAAATACTTCTAGATGTATGAGCTATCTCCAAAGGAATGTACAGGAAACACTGGCACTGGTGGCAAACCCTGGGCAGAACTGGGCAGCTGGACTCAAGGAGTCCAGCACCTTGACTTTTCATTGGCCATCCTGTTTCATTTGAAATTTTCATGGTGTTGGCTGGGCACAGTGTGGCTCATGCCTGTAATCCCAGCACTTTGGGAAGCCAAGGTGGATGGATTACCTGAGGTCAGGAGTTCGAGACCAGCCTGGCCAACATGGTAAAACTACTCTCTAAACCTCTACTAAAAATACAAAAAAAATTTTAGCTGGGTGTGGTGGCAGGCACCTGTAATCCCAGCTTCTTGGGAGGCTGAGGTGGAATTGCTTGAACCGGGAGGTGGAGGTTGCAGTGAGCAGAGATCACACCACTGCACTCCAGTCTGGACAACAGAGCAAGACTCCGTCTCAAAAAAAAAATTTTTTTTTCATGGTGTTTAAGTTCTTTGCTACTTCCAACCCACGTCATAACCTCCTCCCACGATCCCTCAAGCTCCCTGTGTATGCACTAAGATCCTGTTTACAGCCGCTTTTTTTTTTTTTTTGAGACGGAGTTTCGCTCGTTGCCCAGGCTGGAGTGCAATGGCGCAATCTCGGGTCCCAGCAACCTCCGCCTTCTGGGTTCAAGCGATTCTCCTGCCTTAGCATCCAGAGTAGCTGGGCTTACAGGCATGCACCACCACGCCTGGCTAATTTTGTATTTTTAGTAGAGACAGGGTTTCTCCATGTTGGTCAGGCTGGTCTCGAACTCCCAACCTCAGGTTATCTGGCCGCCTCGGTCTCCCAAAGTGCTGGCATTATAGGCATGAACCACCGTGCCCAGCCCCTACAGCCACTTTTCCTCATGAGCAGCTATTTCACAAGATCTATCTCTGGGGCCATTTCTCTCCATACAAGAATCATCTCTGCTCATGTGAATGCACCAGACAAGTTTGTCACCATTTGAAGTTTATTTTTGTTTTTTGGGATGGAGTCTCACTCTGTGTAATCTCAGCTCACTGCAACCTCCACCTCCCAGGTTCAAGTGATTGTCCTGCCTCAGCTCCCTAGTAGCTGGGATTACAGGCGTGCACCACCACACCTGGCCAATTTTTGTATTTGTATTTTTATTTTTGTATTTTTAGAAGAGATGGGTTTCACCAGCTTGGCCAGGCTGGTTTTGAATTCCTGACCTCGTGACCCACTTGCCTGGGCCTCCCAAAGTGCTAGGGTTACAGGTGTGAGCCACTGCGCCCCAGTCATTTGAAAGGTTTTTAGGACACACCAGTTCAGCCACAAGAATGTTCCAGCTGGTCATGCTGGCTAGGTCCCTGTTGACACGTCTGTTGGGGATATTCTGGGCTGTTATTGTGTGGCAATTCTTTTGGGGGCACCATGAAGAACAGCTCTCAATTTGGCCTTTTTTTTTTTTTTGAGACAGAGTCTCGCTCTGTCGCCCAGGCTGGAGTGCAGTGGCGCGATCTCGGCTCACTGCAAGCTCCGCCTCCTGGGTTCACGCCATTGCCCTGCCTCAGCCTCCCGAGTAACTGGGACTACAGGCACCCGCCACCGTGCCCGGCTAATTTTTGTATTTTTAGTAAAGACGGGTTTTCACCATGTTGGCCAGGATGGTCTGGATCTCTTGACCTCGTGATCCACCTGCCTCGGCCTCCCAAAGTGCTGGGATTACAGGTGTGAGCCACCACGCCCGGCCTTCAGTTTGGCCTACTTAAATGACTTCCAACTACCATCGTGATCAGCATGAAAGAGCAGGTCCCAACACAGGGAGAAGTTACACATCGTGCAGGAGATTGCTTATGAGATACTATGAACTCTTCTCTTTTTTTTTTTTTTGGTGAGACGGAGATTTACTCGTTGCCCAGGATGGAGTGCAATGGCGTGATCTCGGCTCACCGCATCCTCCGCCTCCCAGGTTCAAGCAATTCTCCTGCCTCAGCCTCCCAAGTAGCTGGGATTACAGGCATGTGCCACCATGCCCGGCCAATTTTGTATTTTTAGTAGAGATGGGGTTTCACCGTGTTGCCCAGGATGGTCTTGAACTCCAGACCTCAGGTGATCCGCCCGCCTCGGCCTCCCAAAGTGCTGGGAGTATAGGCGTGAGCCACCGCACCTGGCCATTAAGAACTAATTTCTTAGGTGTAAATAATTATGTTAAAAAAAATAGGTATCTCGAGGCAGGAGAATAGTTTGAACCCAGAAGGCAGAGGTTGCAGAGAGCTGAGATGACACCACTGCACTCTAGCCTGGGCAACAGATTGCGACTCAGTCTCAAAAAAAAAAAAAAATAAATGGTATCTCCAAGAGATACATATAGTTTCTTATTTCTGGATAAAATATAATCTCCAGGATTTGCTTTAAAATTATGTAGGGTGGTTGCACACATAGGTACTTAGGTTATTCTGTATAATCAACTATTTGACTCATTGACTGGCACAGAGAGGGTAGTCAAGGTTCAATAAAATTAAGTTAAAAAATGCTGGGCGCGGTGGCTCATGCCTGTAATCCCAGCACTTTGGGAGGCTGAGGCAGGTAGATCACCTGAAGTCAGGAGTTTGAGACCAGCCTGGCCAACATGGTGAAACCCCATCTCTACTAAAAATACAAAAATTAGCCAGGCGTGGTGGAGTGTGCCTGTAGACCCAGCTAGTTGGGAGGCTGAGGCAGGAGAGTCGCTTGAACACCGGAGGTGGAGGTTGCAGTGAGCAGAGGTCATGCCATTGCACTCCAGCCTGTGTGACAGAATGAGATTCTATCATAAAAAAACAAAAACAAAATAAAACAATTAAATTAAATTAAAAAAATAAACACAAAACAGAAAAAATACTCACTGAAGCCCCTCCCTGGTCAGGGCACTGATTCCAGCCCAGCTTCTTGCCACTGCCTAGCCCATTCACACGCATGGTCTCACTTTTCCAACGAGTTTTTATTAGCAGGTAAGTCACGATTTAGGATCCCGGGGTGGGGATCACTAGGTACTAGGTCCCCCTTCACCATCCTGGGAGAAGGACAGAGGACAGAGGACAGGGAGGTACAGCCAGTTCAGATCTTCCCGGGAAACGTGCCTTCAGCCCGTTGCTCGTCCCAGTCTGTGACCTGTGGAAAGACAGTGTTATTCCCACCGCGGTAGGGAAACCGCATGGGGGGACTTCTTATCTTCCTCATTTTGCCCACCTGTTTGTTCAACCAATATCCACAGGTACCTGCTGTGTGCCAACCTCTATTCCAGGGGCCGGGGAATCAGCAGTGACCCCAAAAGACAGAAATCACTGTTCTGAACAAGCTGACGTGCTGGGAGGAGAGTAACGGGCAGCAGGAAAACCCCAGGCCCACTGCAGAGCTGTCGACGGGGAGATCTGTCACTGTACAGAGCTCCAAGGGTGGGCCCTGCTTTGAAAACCTCATGTCAACACTATGCTGTTTGTCCAAATAGGGGAGATGGAATAGCAGGCAGCTGTGAAAAAACAAAACGAGGCTGATTTATGTTCTGGCATGAATGGATGGATCTTCAAGATATACAGTCAAGTGCAAAAAAGGTGCCAAACGGAATACACAGTGCAATCCCACCACTGACCACAGGCAATGCTTAGTATAAATGATGATAGAGGCTGGGTGTGGTGACTCAGGACTCACGCCTGTCATCCCAGCACTTTGCGGGGCCAATGTAGGAGGACTGCTTGAGCTCAGGAGTTTGAGACCAACCTGTACAACACAGCAAGACCCCCATCTCTACAAAAAACAAAAACAAGCGGGGCATGGTGGCTCATGCCTATAATCCCAGCACTTTGGGAGGTGGAAGTGGAAGGATCGCTTGAGCCCAGGAGTTTGAGACCAGCCTGGTGAACGTGGCAAAACCCTGTCTCTACAAAAGATACAAAACTTAGCCAGGCATGGTGGCATGCACCTGTAGTCCCAGTGACTAGGGAGGCTGAGGTGGGAGAACTGCCTGAACCCAGGAGTTTGAGGCTGCAGTGAGCTATGATGCTACCATTGCACACTGCCCTCCAGCCTGAGTGACAGAGCAAGATTGTCTCTCTAAAAACAAAAATAAAAATAAAAATAAAAAAAAGATGAAAAGGCCCATATAAGGCCTATGTCAAATTAACACTCCCTGAAAGTAACACTCTACTCTGTGGGCCTCACAGGCAGTTACAAGCATAAACGTTTTTATATACATACGTGCTCACATTTTATGCTATAAGGCAGGGGTCCCTGAGCCCCAACCAGGTACTGGTCTGTGGCCTGTTAGGAACTGGGCCGCACAACTGGAAGTGAGCGGCAGGTGAGCGAGAGAAGCTTCAACTATATTTACAAGCACTCCCTAAGGCTCAAATTACTGCCCGAGTTCCACCTCCTGTCAGATCAGCGGCGGCATTAGATTCTCACAGGAGTGCGAACCCTATTGTGAACTGCGCATGCCAGGGATCTAGGCGGTGCGCTCCTTATGAGAATCTAATGCCTGATGATCTGTTACTGTCTCCCATCACCCCTAGATGGGACCATCTCGTTGGAGGAAAACAAGCTCAGGGCTCCCACTGATTCTACAGTATGGTGAGTTGTATAATTATTTTATTATATATTGTAATAATAGTAGGAATAAAGTGGACAATACATGTAATATGCTGGACTCATCCTTACACCATCCCCAACCCTGTCTGTGGAAAAACTGTCTTCCATGAAACCCGTCCCTGGTGCCAAAAAGGGTGAGGACCACTGGTGAAAGGAACAGTGGATGAAAGCATGGACAATGGAGAGACTGAATCTGAATCCCTGCTCCATCACTTCCGAGCTGTGTGACCTTGGGCAAGTTACTCAACCTTTCTGGGCCTCAGTTTCCAATTCCGTAAAATGAGGATACTAACAATAGTACCTACCTCATACGGTTGTTTTAGCATGTTGACCTCATGTGATGTAAAGTGCTAACATGGCCGGGCACAGTGGCTCACGCCTGTAATCCCAGCACTTTGGAAGGCCGAAGCAGGTGGATCACCTGAGGTCAGGAGTTTGAGACCAGCCTGGCCAACATGGTGAAACTCTGTCTCCACTAAAAATACAAAAATCAGCTGGGCGTGGTGGCAGGCGCCTGTAATCCCAGATACTTGGGAGGCTGAGGCAGCATAATTGCCTGAACCCGGGAGGCGGAGGTTGCAGTGAGCTGAGATTGCACCACTGCACTCCAGCCTGGGAGACAGAGCAGCAAGACTCCATCTCAAAAAAACAAAAAAAACAAAAAAAACACAAAGTGCTAACAACATAGCTGGCCCATAATAAGTGCCATCAGTGTATGCCTACTTTATTTACATACACACACCACACCATAAAAACTCCATCCTTGCAAATTGACTCCTACTATATAGATTGTTCTGCAACTTGCTTTTCCTGTGTCTTAGCATTCTTTCCGTGTGCCAGCACGTAGATCACCACAGTCTCCATAAAGACTATCAAGATAAATGTTTTAAGTTGGGTTATTTCCAAATATTCCCCATTACAAACAGCTCTGCAATGGGCATCTTTGTACATGAAGATTTTTGTAGCATGCCTAGATGTGGAATTGCCAAGTTAAAGAAGGGTAATTTTTTTTTATTTTGAAAGATTCAGCTGGGTGCGGTAGCTCACGCCTATAATCCCAGCACTTTGGGAGGCTGAGGCAGGCAGACTGCTTTGAGCTCAGGAGTTCGAGACCAGTCTGGGCAACATGGCGAAACCCCATTTCTACAAAAAAATACAAAAATTGGGCCAGGTGTGGTGGCTCATGCCTGTAGTCCCAGCTATTCAGGAGGCTGAGGCAGGAGAATTACTTGAACCCAGGAGGCAGAGGTTACAGTGAGCCGAGATCATGCTACTGCACTCCAGACTGGGCAACAGCGTGAGACTCAAGAAAGAAAAGAAAAGAAAGAAAGAGAGAAAGAGTGGGAGAGGGAGAGGGAGACAGGGAGAGAGGGAGAGAAGGAGGGAGGCAGAGGGAGAGAGGGAGAGAGAGGAAGAGAGAGGAGGGAGGGGGAGGGGGGAGAGAGAGAGAGAGAGAGAGAGAGAGAGAGAGAGAGAGAGAGAGAGAGAGTGAGAGACACAGAGAGAGGCAGGCACAGTGGCACATGCCTATAGTCCCAGCTACTCAGGAGGCTGAGGCAGGAGGAACACTTGAGCCCAGGAGTTCGAGTCCTGCCGAGGCAACATCGTGAGACCCTGTCTTTAAAAACTTGTTTTTGTTTTTGCTTTTTAAACAAAGGGCAGGGGCATAGCAAAGAGCTATTAAATATTGACAACAGATTTGCTCAGATCAGGGCTGAAGGGACTCTCTTACTGTGTCATTATTTAGAAGTCTACACTGAAGTAGGCAGGGGTGAAATGATGTGTCTGGGACTTGCTTTAGAATACTTCAGCAAAGGAAAGAAGAAAAAGAAAAAGGGTAGATGAAGAAACTGTGGATAAATCTTGATAACTATTCACTTTGGGTGATGGATGTACTTGGGGTCAATGAATTATTCTCTCTACTTTGAAAATGTTCATAATAGGGCCGGGCGTGGTGGCTCACACCTATAATCCTGGCACTGTGGGAGGCCGAGGCGGGTGGATCATGAAGTCAGGAGATCGAGACCATTCTGGCTGACATGGTGAAACCCCATCTCTATTAAAATACAAAAAACTAGCTGGGCGTGGTGGTGCACACCTGTAGTCCCAGCTACTTGGGAGGCTGAGGCAGGGGAATCGCTTGAACCTGGGAGGCGGAGGTTGCAGTGAGCCAAGATCGCGCCACTGCACTCCAGCCTGGTAACAGAGCAAGACTGTCTTTAAAAAAAAAAAAAAAGAAAGAGAAAGAAAATGCTCATAATAAAAAAGGACAGGACTGCACAGAATTGTGAGCTATACAGGGATGGGAACCCAGTGCTGAGTGTGTATTTGGAGAGTGCATGAGTGAGCTACATCTAGCAAGATGCCCTGGTCACCTCAGCTGAGAGCCCTGACTGGTTGAGAGGCATCAACAGAAGGAGAAAGGGAGGCAATTCTAGGAGGGAGGAAAGGCATTGAGTCCTGGGACAGTGTGGAGCCCTGTCCTCCCTCTGCCCCTCACAGATGAGCTCCCACCAAGCCACCACGCTCCCCTCTGCAAACACCCCACCCCAGCATCCCAAGGGCCCTGGTAGGAGGCACATACCCAGGATGTGGGGCAGAGGGACTGGTACACACGCTGGTACCATTCGCACACAGAGACATTGCCTCCTTTAGTGGTCATTGCCTTCTGGCAGCGGTGGAAGTCTGTGAAGAAAGGGGTTCAAGTCAGCCCAGATCAAGAGCTGGAACACATTTTTTTTTTTTTTTTTTTTTTTTTTTTAGGTAGGGTCTCGCTCCGTCACTCAGGCTGGAGTGCAATGGTGTGACCTTGGCTCACTGGAACCCCTACCTCCTCCTGGGTTCAAGTGATTCTCCTGCCTCAGCCTCTCGAGTAGCTGGGATTACAGGCACCTGCCACCATGCCCGGCTAATTTTTTGTATTTTTAGTAGAGACAGGGTTTCGCCATGTTGGCCAGGCTGGTCTTGATCTGCCTGCCTCAGCCTCCCAAAGTGCTAGGATTACAGGTGGGAGTCACCGCATCCAGCAAAATTACATTTATAAAGATGTTTACAGCCACATCATTTGAAAGAACTCCAAAATGAAAATCACACAAGTGTCCAGGCGTAGAATAAATTGTAGAAAACTGAACAGCAATGAAAATGAGCAAGTTATATGCCACAGCATGTATAGATCTGAGAAGGTATTCGAATGAAAAAATCCAAACACAAAAGAATACACACAGTATTTATAAAGTTCACAAAGAGGTGAATCTAAACACGGTGGTAGCTGCACATGGTGGCTCACACCTGTAATCCCAGCACTTTGGGAAGCCGAGGCAGGTGGATCACTTGAGGTTAGGAGTTCGAGACCAGCCTGGACAACATGGTGAAGCCCTGTCTCTATTAAAAATACAAACAATTGGCCAGGCATGGTGGCTCATGCCTGTAATCTCAGCACTTTGGGAGGCTGAGGCAGGTGGATCACGAGGTCAGGAGATCGAGACCAGGCTGGCCAACATGGTGAAACCCTGTCTCTACTAAAAACACAAAAAATTAGCCGGGTGTGGTGGCACGTGCCTGTAGTCCCAGCTACTCAGGAGGCTGAGGCAGGAGAATTGCTTAAACCCAGGAGGCAGAGGTTGCAGTGAGCTGAGATTGCACAACTGCACTCCAACCTGGGCAACGGAGCAAGACTCTGTCTCAAAAAAAAAAAAAAAAAAAAAATTGGCCAGGCACGGTGGCTCACACCTGTAATCTCAGCACTTTGGGAGGCTGAGGTGGGTGGATCACGAAGTCAGGAGTTTAAGACCAGCCTGGCCAAGATGGTAAAACCCTGTCTCTACTAAAAATAAAAAAAGAAAAAAAAATTAGCCAGGCATGGTGGCAGATGCCTGTAATCCCAGTTACTCAGGAGGCTGAGGCAGAGAATTGCTTGAAGCTGAGAGGTGAAGGCTGCAGTGAGCTAAGATGGCACCACTGTACTCCACCCTGGGTGACAAAGCCAGACTCCATCTCAAAAAAAAAAAAAAAAAAAAAAAAGCCACGTGCAGTGGCTCACACCTGTAATCCCAGCACTTTGGGAGTCCGAGGCAGGCGGACCACGGGGTCAGGAGATCAAGATCATACTGGCTAACATGGTGAAACCCCATCTCTACCAAAAATACAAAAAAATTAGCCAGACGTGGTGGCGGGTGCCTGTAGTCCCAGCTACTAGGGAGGTTGAGGCAGGAGAATGGCATGAACCTGGGAGGCAGAGCTTGCAGTGAGCCGAGATCACGCCACTGCACTCCAGCCTGGGCGACAGAGTGAGACTCTGTCAAAAAAAAATTAGCTGGGTGTGGTGGCGGGCGCCTGTAATCCCAGCTACTCAGGAGGTTGAGGCAGGAGAATCACTTGAACCCGGGAGGCAGAGGTTGCAGAGAGTTGAGATCGTGCCACTGCACTCCAGCCTGGGCAACGAGAAAGAAACTCCATCAATAACATAACAAAATAACATAATATACATAACATATATACAATAAAATAAAATAAAAAACATGGTGGTAAAACAAAGATGTGAGGCCTTATGCAGTGGCTCACGCCAGTAATTCCAACACTTTGGGAGGCCGAGGTGGGTGGATCACCTGAGGTCAGGAGTTCAAGACCAGCCTGATCAACATGGTGAAACCTCGTCTTTACTAAAAACAAAAAACACAAAAAATTAGCTGGGCATGGTGGTGGGTGCCTGTAATCCCAGCTACTCATGAGGCTGAGACAAGAGAATCGCTTGAACCCAGGAGGCGGGGGAGGTTGCAGTGAGCCAAGATTGTGACATTGCACTCCAGCCTGGGCAACAAGAGCAAAAAACTCAGTCTCAAAAACAAACAAACAAAAACAAACAAAAACAAAGATGTGATCACCCCCAGTTAGTGGGGTCACTTCTCTACTGGGGAGAGCAGGGTGTTGTGTTCCAGACAGGACATAAAGAAGGCAGGGGCCGGGCGCGGTGGCTCACGCCTGTAATCCCAGCACTTTGGGAGGCCGAGACGGGTGGATCACGAGGTCAGGAGATAGAGACCATCCTGGCTAACACGGTGAAACCCCGTCTCTACTAAAAAATACAAAAAACTAGCCGGGCGAGGTGGCGGGTGCCTATAGTCCCAGCTACTCGGGAGGCTGAGGCAGGAGAATGGCGTGAACCCGGGAGGCGGAGCTTGCAGTGAGCTGAGATCCGGCCACCGCACTCCAGCCTGGGTGACAGAGCGAGACTCCGTCTCAAAAAAAAAAAAAAAAAAAAAAAAAAAAAAAAAGAAGGCAGGGAGGCCAGGCGCAGTGGCTCATGCCTGTAATCCCAGCACTTTGGGAGGCTGAGGTGGGCGGATCACCTGAGGTTAGGAGTTCGACACCAGCCTGACCAACATGGAGAAACCCCATCTCTACTAAAAAAACAAAATTAGCCGGGCATGGTGGCACATGCCTGTAATTCCAGCTACTAGGGAGGCTGAGGCAGGAGAATCGCTTGAACCTAGGAGGCAGAGGTTGCAGTGAGCCAAGATCGCTCCATTGCACTCCAGCCTGGGCAACAAGAGTGAAACTCCATCTCGAAAAAACAAAATAAATAAATAAATAAATAAAGAAGGTGGGGAGATAAGAGTGTGGGCAATGTCTGCTTTTCTATCCAGGTTATGGTTGCACAAGGGGTTCACTTTAGAATTATTCATTTAGCTGTATATGTTTGTTATGTGCTTTCTGTACATGTTACACTACACACACACATACAGCTTAAAAAAAAAAAATCATTGTAGGGGCCAGGCACAGTGGCTCACAACTATAATCCCAACACTTTGGGAAGCTAAGGCAGGAAGATTACATGAAGCCAAGAGTTTGAGACCAGCCTGGGCAACAAAGCGAGACCTCTTCTCTACAAAAAAATTAGCCAAGTGCAGTAGTGTGGGCCTGTGGTCCCAGCTACTCGAGAGGCTGAGGTAGGAGGACCTCTTGAGCCCAGGAGGTTGAGGCTGCAGTGAGCTATGACTGCACCACTGCACTCCAGCCTAGGTGACAGTGAGACCCCATCTCCGGAAAACAACAACAACAACAACAACAAAACATAATAATAATAAAAAATTTAAATTTAAAAAAAAAAATCATTGCAGGAACTAAAGTTTATAACCCTGGCCTGGACCTGAACAGCAGGTGATGAGAGGTATGGGCCTTCCAGAGTATGGATGTTCAGAACAAAAGGGAGGACGCTGGGGTGGATGAGTCCTCTAGGAAGAGGCAAGCGGTGAGTGACTCGAGGTATGTGGCCAGGGAAAGGTCCTGCTTACCCAGGTAGTTCTGCCAGCAGTTCCTGGTCTGGTTCTGGTTGGGGAAGCGGCTGTCAAAAGGGGCAGTCTTGTAGTTCTTGATTTTGGTCTCAATGTCTTCTTCCGCCATGGTGCTGAATCCTGGAGGCGAAAGGAGTGGGTGTTGACAGGGGCCCCAGGGCCCCTCAGCAAGCCAGACTACCCAGGATCAATGGAAGAGGGCAGGCACAGAAGAATGGGCTGAGTGTGGACAAGTTCCTGCCTCTCAACATACACAGAGATGAGGGGCAAGGCGAATTCACATATCTGAATGTGGCCGTCACGGCAGGGTTGGGGTACAACTCCTCAGCAAAATCAAGCCTGGTCCCCAAATAACATGAGCTAACACTCACTGAGTGCTTACTACATGCCAGGTGCTGTTCTACACACATTACTCCTACTTTACTCTAAAAGGTAGGAATTATTACTATCACCATTGCCCAGACGAGGAAGGAACAGGGTGTCTAAGTGACTTTCTAAGGTTAAACAGCATAAATATAAATGGTGGGCTGCCTCCGTTGTTGGCATAATCTACACTGCAAAGATTCTTAATCTTTTTGGTGCCACAAACTCCTCAGCAGTCTGATGAATCCCATAAACCTCTCGCTGAATATTTTTTTTTCTTTTTTTGAGACAGAGTCTTGCTCTGTCACCTAGGCTGGAGGGCAGTGGTACCATCTAGGCTCACGAACCTCCGCCTCCCAGGTTCAAGCAATTCTGTTGCTTCAGCCTCCCGAACAGCTGAGATTACAGGCACCCGCCACCATGCCCTGCTAATTTTTTTGTATTTTCAGTAGAAACAAGGTTTTTACCATGTTGGTCAGACTGGTCTCGAACTCCTGATCTCAAATGATCCGTCTGGCTTGGCCTCTCAAAATGTTGAGATTACAGGAGGGAGCCACCAAATCCAGCCTGAATATGTTTAAATGTATTTAAAAATTGCATAGGTTCCATGAGTACACGAAGAAGAGAAAAAAACCTGCACAGCATCACAAAGAAAACCAGTTATATCCAGCTGAGGATTCATTAAGGAATACAATTTTTGCCGGGTGCAGTGGCTCACGCCTGTAATCCTAGCACTTTGTGAGGCCGGGGGGAGGGGGGGGTGGATCACCTGAGGTCAGGAGTTCAAGACCAGCCTGGCCAACATGGTGAAATCCTGTCTCTACTAAAAATACAAAAATTAGCTCGCGTGGAGAGCAGTGGTGCGACCTCAGCTCACTGCAACCTCCACCACCTGGGTTCAATCCCAGCTACTCTGGATGTTGAGGCAAGAGAATCGCTTGAACCCAGGAGGCGGAGGTTGCAGTGAGCCGAGATTGTGCCAGTGCACTGCAACCTGGGCAACACAGAAAAACACTGTCTCAAAAAAAAAAAAAAATACAATTTTGAAGTAATCATAAATGAATATAGTACTTTGTGACATTTGCAGTTATAATGTGATATAAGAATATCTGTGATTTTGGGTGGGGCACGGTGGCTCACACCTGTAATCACAGCACTTTGGGACACTGAGGTGGGAGGATCGCTTGAGCCCAAGAGTTCAAGACCATCCTGGGCAACATGGTGAAACCCCATCTCATCTCTACAAAAAAATATTAAAATTGGCCGGGAGCGGTGGCTCACGCCTGTAATACCAGCACTTTGGGAGGCCGAGGTGGGCAGATCGCCTCAGGTCAAGAGTTCGAGACCAGCCTGGCTAACATGGTAAAACCCTGACTCTACTAAAAATACAAAAAATTAGCTGGGGTGGTGGCATGTACCTGTAATTCCAGCAACTCGGGAGGCAAGACCTTGTCTCAAAAAATAAAATTAAATTAAATTAAAATTAGCCAGGTGTGGTGGCACATGCCTGTGGTTCCAGCTACTGAGGTAGGATCGCTTGCGCAGGGAAGCAGAGGTTGCAGTGAGCTGAGATTTCTCCACTGCACGCCAGCCTGGGTGACACAGAGACCCTGTCTCAAAAAAGGAGAAAAAAATAAAAAAAGGAATATATATGATTTTGATTGCTAACAAAATCACAGCTGCTGCTAGTACGACCGAGGCTGTTACCTCAAAAGGTTAGTAAAAACACAGATGTAATTCCACCCCCCACCCCAATTCAAGTACTAGCATTCCTTGAATTCTACCAACCCTGCGGACTCAGGGTTAAAAACCTTTAATATAATGTCTCTGAAGAAATGACAGTGTTCGTCAGGAACCTGAGAGAAAGTGTCTACTATATTCCAGTGAATCCTAGGAGTCGTGGGGCTATACAGAGACTTGCAGAGCAGTGTCAGATTCAAGCGACGCAAGGTGGTGGTGGGGGTCCGGAGCACTAAAACAGTCTTTCGGTGGGGAGGTGGGGTGTAAAACACCAGCTGCTGGGGCACAGACGCAATCGGTAGGATCGTTAGCGGCGAGATCTCGACCCGGTATCTGAGGATGAGGGTGCATCGGAAATGACGCTGCAGCCCCTCCACCGTCCAAAAGGGAGGATGGACTGGACACCCGGGAGCCAGGCTGCGGCCCAGGCAAGCCGCGGGAGGCCACGCCTGTGAATTGGCCGTGAAGAGCCCTGGAGGACAAACTCCTGGGTCAAATCCTGCTCGCTGTGTAGGCTCAGCTAGGTCGCTTGGTATCTCTGAGCCTGTTTACTGACAAAAGGGGATAATCGTAGGCCCTCTCTCACAGGGCTGCTGAGAGAGTTAAATGAATTAAAGTTGTTTGGGACGTTGCCCGGCATCAAGGAAGAACCGTATCATTGTTAGACCTTACGATGAACAGAACAGGGCCCCGGGGCGCAGGGAGGCCGGACGCCGCCAGCCGGAAGCCTCAACCCGTTCTCAGGGAAGCTGGGGTCCGGCTCCTCGGCCCGCTAGACTGGGGTCCCAGGTTCCAGAACCCTCCACACTCACCTAAAGGCACCCCAGATGCAACTTGCAGCTCAATGTCACCCTCAGCAAAGATACCAGAATCGGACAGGAAGCGGAACTATGACCAGCCGGAAGCTGAGCGAGGTGGGGACTAGAGGAGTCTTTCCAGAGGCTAGAGCTCCCTCGCAGGAGGAGGCCACCGAAGCCATTCAAGCCACGCCCAGCAAGAGAACTACGACTTTCTATTGAGTTGAATGCTTGTTCATCATCACTTCTGGCCCAATCGTGAGCTTGCGCGGCTGGGGCTCGGGCGCCTGTGGTTACCCGGTCTTGTCCGAGGGAGCGTTATAGATCCCTGGGCTGGCTGGAGGGTGGGTGCGGGTAAAAATGTCCCAGAGGAACTACTTTTATTCATGCAAGAAATATTTATTGAACGCTTTTTCTGTGTCGGTTATTTCTTTTCTTTAAAAATGTTTTTTCTTTTATTTTTTTAATTTTTTTTATTTTTTGAGACGGAGTCTCGCTCTGTCGCCCAGGCTGGAGTGCAGTGGCGCGATCTCGGCTCACTGCAAGCTCCGCCTCCCGGGTTCACGCCATTCCCCTGCCTCAGCCTTCCGAGTAGCTGGGACTACAGGCGCCCGCCACCGCGCCCAGCTAATTTTTTGTATTTTTAGTGGAGACGGGGCTTCACCGTGGTCTCCATCTCCTGACCTCGTGATCCGCCCGCCTCGGCCTCCCAAAATGCTGGGATTACAGGCGTGAGCCACCGCGACCGGCCCTTTTTAAATTTTTTGAGACAGGGTCTTACTCTATGGTCTCGCTCTGTCGCCCAGGCTGAAGAGCAGTGGCGCGATCTCAGCTCACTGCAACCTCCACCACCTGGGTTCAAGCGAGTCTCCCGCCCCAGCCTTCCGAGTAGCTAGGATTACAGGTGCACGCCACTACTCCTGGATCCATATATATGCATTTTGTAGAGATGGGGTCTTGCTATGTTACCCAGGCTGGACTCGAACTCCTGGTCTCAAGCGATCCTCCCGCCTCGGCCTTCCAAAGCGTGAGGATTACCGGCGTGACCCACTGTATTCGGCCATCAGGCACTTCTATAAGGGTTGAGAAAGCACGCTGCACAAAACACAGAAATCCCTACCCTTATAATATTAAATAATTAGAGCGCCAATTGTTAGGGGATTGAAAACGAACCAATCTCTCCCTAGGTGTCACTCGTCAGGGTATTAGGAATGCCCAGATTTTACCTCCCTGCTGGTTACCATCTTTTCCCAAACCTCTGAAAGCACAGATTAACAAAGATTTGAGTGGCCAAGAGCTCAAGAACCAGTCTTGCATCCCAGGCAGGTGGGGTTAGGAGTTAAAGCTTGGATCTATGAAGGGTCTGGCAGAAAGGATTCCATTTGGGAAAATGGCTAACTCTGTCCTCTGGCCACAGAGTTGTCCTTGTTTCCGATCTTTCTCTCACACCTGAGAGCTGACCTATCAAGAAATCCCGTTGGTTCTGCCTGTAACTATATCCATAATCTTCCTCTAGCACATTTGGTTTAAGCCACCATCACCTTCAGACTGGACTATTGCAGCAGCCCACTCCCTGGTCTCCTGGCTTCCAGCTGCCCTCTGCAGTATGTCCACCCAGCCAGAGGAACACGGGTCTGACTTCTAGTCTAAAGCCAATGTCCTTATAAATGATCTACACAATTTGGCCCTTCTCTCCTCTCCTCCCCTCCCCTTCTCTCCCCTCTCCTCTCCTCTCCTTCTTGAAACTCAGTCTCACTCTGTCGCCCAGGATGGAGTGCAGTGGTACTATCTTGGCTCACTACAACCTCCTCCTCCTGGGTTCAAGTGATTCTCCTGCCTCAGCCTCCCGAGTAGTTGCAATTACAAGTGCACGCCACCACTCCCAGCTAATTTTTGTGATTTTGGTAGAGAGGGATTTCACCATGTTGGTCAGGTTGGTCTTGAACTCCTGACCTCGGTCTTGAACAGGTGATCTGCCCACCTGGGCCTCCCAAAATGCTGGGATTACAGGCGTGAGCCACCCCACCTGGCCAATTTGTCCTTTTTTAGACAGAGTTTCATTCATGTTGCCCAGACTGGAGTGCAGTGGTGCGATCTTGGCTCACTGCAACCTCCACCTCCCAGGCTAGAGCGATTCTTCTGCCTCAGCCTCCCGAATCACTGGGATTACAGGCATGCGCCACCACACCTGGCTAATTTTGTATTTTTAGTAGAGATGGGGTTTCTCCATGTTGGTCAGGCTGGTCTTGAACTTTTGACCTCAGGTGATCTGCCCGCCTTGGCCTTCCAAAGTGCTGGGATTACAGGCGTGAGCCACCGCTCCCGGCTATATCTGTTCTTTTAAATTATGTTTACCTCTTTTTGCCTCCCTCAATAGAAAAGAATCATCATAAAGGAAGAATTTTTGTCTGCCTTATTCACCATTGTATCTAAAGCAGTGCCTGGTACACAGGAAGTACTCTATAAATATTTGCTGAATGCAAGAATTTCTTGTGGAACTGAAGGAAGCATTTGGGGACTAGGAGAGGGAGCTATGAAAGAGAACTGCTTTCCTTCCTCCCCTGTCTGGCCTCTAAAGCTTCTCCCACACCATCTGAGGTGCAGTGTCCAGATGGAACTGGGTTACGGACCTCTTCTTACACATTCTGTGTCCATCAACATTGTGGTTATTTGTGGAATTACCTGTTTACATGCATGTATTCATCCCCTGCAATGAGGTCTTCCTAAAACCCAAATCCCTCTCCCTGCTTAAAACACCTTGATGGGGGCCAGGCATGGTGGCTCACTCCTATAATCCCAGCACTTTGGGAGGCCAAGGCAAGCGGATCACCTGAGGTCAGGAGTTCCAGACCAGCCTGACCAACATGGTGAAAACCCCATCTTTACTAAAAATACAAAAATTAGCTGTGTGTGGTGGTGCGCGCCTGTAATTCCCGCTATTTGGGAGGTTGAGGCAGGAGAATTGCTTGAACCTGGGAGTCGGAGGTTGCAGTAACCTGAGATTGCATCACTGCACTCCAGCCAGAGTGACAGAGTGAGACTCCATCTCTAAAAACAAACAAAACCCTCGATGGCTCCTCAGGAGCCCTGGAGACAAAGTCTGGGCTCCTCACCATGGCCCACAGATCCTTTATGAATTGGTCCCTGTTGCTGCTGTAGCCACATTTATTTTTAAATTTTTTTTTTTTTTTTTTAACAGAGATGGGGGTCTCCCTTATGTTGCTCAGGCTGGTCTGGAAATCCTGGCCTCAAGCCGTCCTCCTGCCTCAGCCTCCCAAAGTAATGAGATTACAGGTGTGAGCCACTATGCCTGGCCCACATTGATAGTTTTGAGCAGTGGTATGAGATCGTCCACCTCTGGACCTTTGATCTTGTTCCTTCTGCCTGAAACATTCTTTGCCTACCTGACTTCTCAAATCAGCTGTCTCCTCCTCCAGGGCGTCTCCCCTGACCCTTCTCCTCCTGGGCTAGGTCAGGTCTCTCCTTTTGGCCCCCTCGATCCCCTGGAGTCTTCTCATCCCAGCTCAAAACATTCTGGTGATGGGTCTGTCTTCCCACTGGACTGTGAGCTCCCTGAGGGTAGGGTCCACGGCTGTCTTCGTCCCTGCTCTATCCCCAGCATCGCCCACAGGACGACCACACAGCAGGCTCTCTTTAGGAGCTCAGTGGCTCTCAGAATGGTGTAGGCTGTCTTTAGAGTGTTGGTCTGAGTCCTGTGTCAAGCTTGGAGTGGGGAAAGGGTGAGTGGTGTTGGGGTGCAAGCACTAGTTTTAATTCCTTGACGATCCCTTGCACTGGGAGGACACACAGCACAGCAAGCCCTTTTCGGAGTCTGAGTCTTCTCTTTAAGGGGACACAGCAGATATACTCTCATGATTGGGTCTGATTCCTTTACAAGTCCTGACACAGGGCAGGCACACAGTAGGCCCTATGGGCTTTGGGTTTAGTTTCTTTGCCTCTCTCATCACAGGGCGGGCACATGGCAGGCTCCCTAAGGGTCTGGGTCTCCTTTGGTCATTGCCCAGCACT